CAAGAGTGGCTCATAACATTTTGAAGACTCCTATCTTTGTAATAGTAAGGATGAACTTTGTTGGGAGGGTGATCCCTAGCAAATATAGTGTTAAGCAGGAATATGCTCTATCTTCTCAAAATGCTATCACTAGAAGAGTTGCTCCATTGAAGTTGTGGGAGTTCCTACGGAAAATTCATATACCCCATATACAACTCCTTTTCATTTGGAGACTAATCCATTCTGCTGTACTTGTTGGAGAGGTTTTGAGGAAAAATCATTTAGACATTCAGATTAACTCTGTTTTTGGTTGTTAAGTTGCTAAAATGGTAGAGATCTCTTCTATTCTTGTCCATATGTATAAGCTATCTGGTTTGGTACTTTATCTTTGTGCTATTGACATTTTTGCTGGAGATTTCCTTTTATGGCTTTTGGGATATTGTTTCAGCTTTGTGTCGAGGGTAACATGATTATGCTAAAAGGAGTTATTGTGTTACTACATCTTATTTGGACTAGGAGAAATATGGCACTTCACAGAGGTCTCATTAGCAAACTGAAACAAGTCATTCAAGATTTTTGAGGTCATGAAAATTTGCAATTGGCAAAGTATTTATTGTACTTCAAACACTTCAAATCTAGATCCTACTTCTGCTTTGCCTAATTGTGATATTTGCAACATTGTTAACACTACTCAGAATTGGACTATCTATATGAGAAAGGTTAAATCTCGAAGGTATACCTCTTGTGTTGCTACAATTTTCCTTGGTCATGATGACACTCAAACCTTGAAGTTGATGAAATTTTTGTCTTCTAATCCCCGTCTCTCCTACATCTCTTGTCTGAGATTGTTGTTGCATTGGATTACTTAAGCAGCTCTAACATTTTGGCAATCCATGAATCACATCAATATTGTCATACAAGAAGAGAATTGCAGAAGAATTTGGTCAATGGTCTTCTTGGTGATTTGATTCACTAGCATCCCAGCAAAAGATGTTAAGACATTGCTTCAATCTTTTTATAGTTACTTTTTTGCAAAACCGATATTTATTAACCCCTTATCCCCTGAACTTGGTAATATTGATCTTAATTGTGTAATTTTCTTCGTTTTATAAATTGATCTTTTTACCAAAACAAGAGATTTAAGTTTTTTTTTTATGATTTCGATAAAATACATTGAAAATGACTTATAAATAAGACTATAGGAGTATATATTATTATGTTAAGACAAAACTGACATTAAATTGCTTCTATCTCAAGTAATCACATTTGTTATTTTCCTATTGTTAATTGTTAATAAAATATGATTTGTACTTATAAATTCACTTATATTTTTTTTATATAACTTTTATAATGTAAATTAGGATTTATAGCTTTTATATACATTTATTTGTTTGTCAGTGTTAGTTATTATAATACGCGTGTACGCTTATAAAATATTGATACTTATTATTTTTTATTACTACCTTTTAGTTGACTAATTTGAGTAGATTAAAAAAATTAGTTATTTGTAATAAATATGTATTGTTTTAGTCTTGTTAATCATGTGTATTAGCTAGAACTACCATTTGATAAAACATTTAACATGTGCAACTATTATAAGGATTACTTTAGAAAAATAGATAAATATAAAGGACAAAGTGAATTGGGATATTATATCTAGAAACAAATTAAATGTCAAACTACTCTTATATTAAAAACCGTAAATAATATTCATTATTGAAATATGTATGTGTATTTGTAAATTCATTTTATAAATTTCACTTACAAGCAGCTTCCATAAGTTTTGTCAATTATACATGTGTTTCCGTATTTAATTTCTTTAATTTCTTTAACTTATATCCTAGTTTAAATGCATTTACCACCCTCCCCCGTTCTTTTCTCTCTGTTTTTTAAATACATTTTTTCTATTTCATTAGTCTTTCTTCCTCCTAACCTAAAGCTTGCATCGGCGCTCAAGACTTCACCCTAGCGTCGCGGCCTCCTTGCTCTGTCTCTCTCGGACGGAAATCTGAACCTCACCGTTGCCCCGCAAGCGAAAATCGGAAGCTCGCCGTTGCTTGCTCATCCTAGCTCGCTATCGTCGTTGCTCGAAGAGTTGAGGCCTCGCGTTTGCCGTTGCTATCGTGCTCGGAAATCTGAAGCCTCAACCTCGCCGACGCCTTAACCTTGCTCGGAGACTCACTCCCTCGCTCACCCGTAGGCTTAGGTAACTCACTCCCTCGCTTGCCGTAAATGTATTTTTAGTTTTATTTTTTAGATTTTTGGTTTTGGATTTGTATAGATTTAGCTCTTTTATCTTAATCTGCGATTGGTAGTTGCCTATGCTTTCACCTGGGGACTGATTTTCGGGGACGAATTATTGTAATATCCGAAGTAGTTTCAACGAATAAATGATTTAGTGGCTTTCCTTCTGTTTCTTGTCTCTGTTATGGACTCATGGTTCGACTGCTTCGTGTCTGTTCTCCGTCTCATGCTCCTTTGGACCTCATCTTTCTAAATTCGTGTCATGTGATTATCTTACAATACAATGAACTGTGCATAAGGCCAATGAAGATGGGTTTTGTAAAAGATCCAGTACGTGCAAAATCCCTAATTCCTATTTGATTTTTGACTTTCCCTGCTTAAGTGCAATCTTCGCCTTTTACTGCCTCTCGACTTCTCACTTTGCCTTCTGAGCCCGTCTGACACTGGTATCTGTTCTTCTCTTTAAGTCTGGTGACGCGCTGGATTGCAATCTGATGTCTAGTCTCCTCATTCTGGTTTGCTGTTTCGATGCTAATCTTCTCTCTTTGCCAATCGCTTCCTCATGCTCGGAGACTCACTCCCTCGCTCACCCGTAGGCTTAGGTAACTCACTCCCTCGCTTGCCGTAAATGTATTTTTAGTTTTATTTTTAGATTTTTGGTTTTGGATTTGTATAGATTTAGCTCTTTTATCTTAATCTGCGATTGGTAGTTGCCTATGCTTTCACCTGGGGACTGATTTTCGGGGACGAATTATTGTAATATCCGAAGTAGTTTCAACGAATAAATGATTTAGTGGCTTTCCTTCTGTTTCTTGTCTCTGTTATGGACTCATGGTTCGACTGCTTCGTGTCTGTTCTCCGTCTCATGCTCCTTTGGACCTCATCTTTCTAAATTGTGTCATGTGATTATCTTACAATACAATGAACTGTGCATAAGGCCAATGAAGATGGGTTTTGTAAAAGATCCAGTGCGTGCAAAATCCCTAATTCCTATTTGATTTTTGACTTTCCCTGCTTAAGTGCAATCTTCGCCTTTTACTGCCTCTCGACTTCTCACTTTGCCTTCTGAGCCCGTCTGACACTGGTATCTGTTCTTCTCTTTAAGTCTGGTGACGCGCTGGATTGCAATCTGATGTCTAGTCTCCTCATTCTGGTTTGCTGTTTCGATGCTAATCTTCTCTCTTTGCCAATCGCTTCCTCACCAGCTGCTACAAAATTCTGGTATGCGACATCAAATTTTGATTTCCAACATCTGCTGATTTGAAAAACGGGTGTTACTTTTTACGGGGAAGACGTTGTTAATGGTCCCTGTGGCAGCTGAATGATTATAAATGGTAGAGACCCCCCATAATCAGCATTGGGATGTACCATGACTTCCTTAGAAATTCCTTTAGCAAAACAAAGTCCCTCTTGTAGTGTCATCTTTAAGTAATGCATCATTCTGTGGACTGCATTCATGTGCTCTTCTAGTAATTGATGTGCAAATCGACTTACTACAAGAACAGCATAGCTTATGTCTGGTTGTGTCTGGGAGATTGAGGAGCTTTCTAGCCAACCTTTTGTACCTTTCAGTATCAGTTGGAGCTATTTCCTTCTTAGGTGTTGGTTTTGGTTTTCCCTAAGTCTTCAGTTTTTATTTTCCCTCTTCATTTCTGGAGTTAACTCTTCCTTTTCTTTATCCTCTAGTTTGAATTGGGTTTGAAAATCTAGAGCCTTGGAGGGTAATTTATTGATAAAATGAGCCGCTGTAAGTGTAGCTTCCCCAAATAACATTGTGGAAACATTATGAGTCAACACTATAGCTCACGCTGCTTCTAAGATAGGATCATAGGTTGGAGCTCATGTATTTCCTCCCGTTATCACTTCTAATATCTTTAATGGAAGTGTTAAACTAGTTTTGGATCATAGTGTGAAAGTTCATGAAATTTTGGATTACATTAGATTCATCTTTAATGAGAAATGCTTAGGCTAATGACCATCAATAATTGTTGCAAACCATTTTGCATTGTATAAAGATAGAACGTGTGTGGCCCCCCAAGCCTTTGAAATATCGCTATGCGTAGGATATAATGGTTGAGAGGGTTGATGGAGGTGTGCTTTGTAGGCATTTTTGTTATCTTCTGAAATTTGACAAACATCACAAGCAACGCAAGAGATACTATTATCCATAGCATTAGAAATTAATTTGTACATATATTTGAAGTTAAGGTGGCCTAACCTATAATGCCACAACAACACATCTTTATTGGCAAACTGGATATATGTTTTCTTTGCAATAAAGCTGGATATACGTGGCTGTACACTTCCATATGGTTGTACCTCCACACAATAAAGCCCCCCTTGCAACTCAATAGTGCCAATCATCTTCCCTGACTCCTAGTCTTATAGCAAACATTGAGTAGCAAAAAAATCAGCTGACCATGCTGATACAAGGTTGATTTGCTAACAGACAAGTGGCCAGAGTTTATATCAGCGGCATATGGAACATTTCAAGTGTTGAAACACCATATAGACATGCTTCACCAATTCCATATCCAGCTTTATATTTTGAATAAGATTCACATGATCCATCGTATGATCAGTGGCCCATGAATCAATAGTCCACATTCTCCCATGGTGAATAGTATTTTTGGAGCTAGGATTACATTACCTGTGTATGCAATATCACCAGAGGCTACCAGTTGGTCTTTATTGTCATGCTTGTAAAGTAATGTTTTTGAGAAACTCAATCACCTCCTTGCTGAGTTTATCATTAAATTCTGGTTTGCAATCTGCAGTTGTTGCAAGTGCCTTTGTGTTGTGCTTGCCTCTCACTTTATGATTGAGTGGCTTTCCATGGAGCTACCGGCAAACATCTTTTGCATGGACTGGCTTATGACAATGATCACACCATTTGCCATTTCTTTTCCCTCTACTGCCATCTCTTTGGAATCCTTCGGAGAGCATAGCTCCAGATTCAGCTTCAGTAGAATGTGGCTGTTTGATTGAGGTCAGTTTCTTTTGACTTTCCTCTTGCTTGACAATGAAGAAAACTATTATACTAAGAAGCTTGTCTTCGCTCAAATCTCATCAAAAGTTGGATTTAGGCCAAGTGGGATCTTTAAGTTATTTCCTCCTCTTTATTTTTGGCATAGATTTGTGGTTAGTGGTACACAACCATTCATGAGTGCCATATAGATCTAGCTGCTGCCATAGAATGACAAGGTTATTGCAATGTAACGTTCAAATTAACTTCTCAGGTTATGTAAGCTTGCTTCAATTTCCAAAATCCCTGATTGGTTTGAGAGATGCAAATATGTCTTTTGCAGCCTCCCATGCCTCTTGTGCTGACTGGAACTGAGAAATTGGCGCTGATTTCAATGGTCACTGAATTCACCATCTATGACTGAATAATCAATCAAATCTTCAGCTTCCCATTGAGCATAATTCACATGAGTAGGAGAGGGTTTGTTTACTGTTCCTGTCAGATACCCAAATTTCCCTTTGCTTGTGACATAGATACACACTCCAACAGCCCATTGAAGGTAGTTATGGCCATTTGAATGATGAATTGTAATGGCAGAAGTATTGGTATTGCGTGGTGCTTGGTGACTTGTGACTGGGATCACTGGCAGTGATGATGTATTTAATGTTGAAGAGTTAAAACCACCCTAGCTATTAACTTTCAGCCCTAAGCCGAACTGGATCACTGCTCCCATGCCATGTTGGATCATATGCCAAAAATTCTGGTTTATTCACGTATGCATTTGTACACTTTATAGGAGTACAGCTCTAGTTTTACAGTTAATACTAGGATCTGGCCTAATTTCTGCAAAATCAAATCTCGTATCCTAAATGCAGAATCAATCAGAATTGGATCTCCTATATTGAACGCAAGATTAGCTGTCGGACTTAGGAAGATTACAGTTTAAAACCCCGAAACTGAACATAAGAGAGCCCAAAGAGTTGGGTCCAAAGAGGGCCTTCATCAGTGTCAACAGTTTGATCTCATTGAATTTGACATGGGAAGTCCTCCTATCCTCAGGCAGTAAACCCTGCAATTGGAAGATATTTTATGGAAAGAGATTCTTTTATAGATAGATTTACACCGCTGGGGGGGATTAGGGGTGAGAGAGACCAGTGGCTACACGCTACTGTAGAACTAATTTGTCCATGATCCCATGACAAATATATGGTAATCTAAATCAAACATATAACTTGGTGCCAAATTTTTACGTTTTCAGTGAATAGTCTTTACTGGGTTGGCTCGGACCCATACTATTCTGCTCTGCCTACTATATCAGGGTAGCCAAGGTTGGGCAAGCTGAGAAATGCAGCCTAGTGCATATCTACGGGAGGGCACTAGGTCAGGAAAATACCTTGCATGCTGCAATCCATGCACCCTTTTCCTGCAGCTGTGTGTCCAAGTTATTTTCGTTGAATTATTAATATTGGCTTTCCTTTTTTTCTTTTTTCCTGGGTCAGATTAATAGTAGCTTTCTTATTGTAAATATTTTGTCAAGAATATCCTGATGGATATCTGGTTGTATGGGAATTTTTGTATGGTAGAATGAAAGATGCTGAGTCATGTTGGGTTGACTATTAGGTTTGTGCATTATTGCTAAATTACTTCTGTGGTGTTAAATGATTCACGTTGAATCTTTGTAAGTGGATTCTGTGCAAATAAGATCTTGGTTAAGGTTCTTCACTAATCTTGGAAGGATTAAGATGGGGAGTAAGCTGGATTCCTGCCTAATGTTTCTTATTGTTGAATAGAGGTTTTCTCCCCTTCTCTGGATTATGGTTTTGGAGATATTGACGCATTGTCGCTTTGCATGTCAAATTTGCTTAGGATTTTGGTTTTTATCATACTGGAGGCATTGCAAAAGCGTTTGTATTGTTGGTTTTATTTGTCATTTGGATAATCTACAGTATGAAGCCTGAAAGGATTATGTTACCGAATTCTTGTTTTATTTAGTGTTTGTTTGTGATCATCATTTGTTCATGCACTGGCCATCGTGGATGTCGTTGTGTTGTGATGTTTCTTTTTAGATGTATAATTGTTCATGTTGATTTCTGGATACCCGACCTATTTTGTGCGCTGACCCATTCTATTGTTCTATACAAAGGTATGTCAATGTATTCTATTACTTGGCACATTGGCATGGTACCTATAAATACACCTCTTTCTTATGGTTTTGCTCCACTGGATGTGCAGGTCTTCCATATCTGGGCGTGCTTTGGGCATGTCATGGGCATTTTCTTTTAAAGATAGAAGAGGAGTGTCTGTTCATTTAGTTTCTGTTCACAATCTAATTTCTAAACATATGTTTTTGAGATGGGTTCTCGAGAAAGGCCATTTTTTGATCTCAATGAACCACCTGTAGTGGATGATGATGATAAGGATGACCCCTTTTGTTTTCAGCCTCAAAGGACACTTCCATCTATAAATCCTCATGCTCCTGACTTGAATGTGGCTTCAGCAGGAATCCAAGGGATAGTAAATAATCAGGCCTTTTCACACGCATCTTCTATCTCTGGATTTCAGCCTTTTGTTCGGTCGAAAACTACCTATGTTGCTGAGAAAGATACTGAACTGATGAGAGCAGGAGATCAGAAAACAAATGATTGCTCATCATCTAAGGATAGTAAAGATGTGGATGAGAGAGGTATGAAGCCAAGAGTACATAGTTCAGCTAATTCTCAAATAGTGGAGAGAGAAGAAGGGGAATGGTCTGATGCTGAGGGATCTGGTGATTTTAATGGCTGTAATAATTTGCCCCAACAAAGCAAAATTTCAGAAGAGCAAGCAGTATCTGGAATGGCAGAGGGATGTGTTACAGTAGCAGCAGACGATAATTCTAACAATATTAAATTCTCTGATAGTGCACCTGTTGAAAAGAGTAGTCGTGCTTCTGTTGATGTCGAATCAGGTCCTTGTGAACAAAAAATTAACGGTATCAATTCTGAATGCAGTGTAAAAGGTGAGTCTTCTACAAATGCATCTGATGAACTTAGTACAGTTCCCAAACAAAAAGAAGTGAAAGGTATTGAAGCAATCCATGCTCTTAGATGTGCAAACAACCCCGGCAAGAGGAAAATGGACCAACGCAAAGAGGAAATGTTGGGAAAGAAGCGTAATAGGCAAATTGTGGTTCTTAATTTGGAAGATGCGATGCAAGCAGGTTCTATTAAAACCTCAACACCTAGAAGGCAGAGTTCCTCATCATCTGCTATAATTCGTGGTGCAAAGGAAGTCCGCAATATTCCTGCACAAGTTGATCGTGTTGGAATAGTCAAGGATCAGAAGCATGTTGACACATCTTCTAATGAAGGTGGCACCTATGCTGATGCTTATGAGCCTAAATCTGACTGTAATGGTGATAACTCTGAACTACTCAGCCAGCCTAAGAGGCAAAATAATGAACATGTACATTCCACGGAGGTCAATTTGAATCCTGTTTCAAGGCAGAGTTCATGGAAACAGTCAACTGATTTGAGGCTGCAGAAAAGTGTATCAGTTTCTAATAAAAAGTTGGCATTGACCGGTCAAAGCTCTGGTGATATGAAGCCTGTAAATAAAAAGCATTTTTCTATCAAGAAGCAAACTGCTGTGACCACCCTGTCTCAGGACACGTCAGTAGAGCGCCTTATACGTGAGGTGACCAGTGAAAAGTTTTGGCATCACCCAGGTATAAAGTAATTGAATAGTTTATTAGTGCAAGTGTATGTTGTGTTAATATTGATGTTCTTTTCATGATCTTGTTGGATTTGGAATTTTAGTTCCTCTGCACTCAAGTTGTTTCTGATTTATCGTATTGGTGCTCCCTTCCTCCAGTTATCACACTGTGAGTGTCATAACACTTGAGAGACTTCCAAAGGTGATGACAGTTGTATTTTAGAATGAAGTTTTGATTTGAAATATATAGCTACGGTTGGTTTACATGAATTTTTTATGTAACCCAGTCACCATCACATGCCTCTTCGGTGTTATGTTTCTCAAGGTGGATTGTTTCTTCATAAAGAAGAAAAGATAACGGATGGAGGGGTAATCTAGAGCTTTACTTCAATCTGTGTTAATTATCACAATGGCCTTTTTACATGTTCAGTATGTTAACTGCATATTTTAATCCATGCATGGAATGATGGAAACCGATTTTATTTGCTCACTTTGGATGTTTGAGGCTAGTATCTGAAAATTATGTATCGACTTAACACGCCGTGCAGTCAAGCCATTGATTTAGATTGTCTAACTACCTTCAGTGGCTTGTTGACCTGAATTTTTAACAGCAAGTGCAGTTACAATACAACATGTGCAGTTTAAATTTCCTTAGACGTCTTAAACATGCATGATATTCATATGAAAACTGCTGGTTCCAGAGCTTAAAGGACATTTAAACTGTGGAATCTGTTAAAATTAGATGGATACCACGTTCTGTGTGAGTTAAAATGATGAATTCAAGATTATATTGATAGGGTTGATGACAAAATATACAAGGGAGAATTATCAAAAGGTTCCGAGAGAGAAATTTAATTACCAAAAAGTCCCAATGACAAGTGACCAGCCTGAACTACTTCTTATTATTTTTTCTTTTTAGAAATTGTTTACTCCTCACTTGTCAATGGACTTTAAGGTAATTAAATCTCTTCTTGCGGACCTGATTGTAATTCTCCCAATTTAGTAGAACCATTGTGGAGGATTTTCAAAGTGTTTATTATGGTTTCATATAGCTCACTTCTGATGCTGCTTGGTCAAGGCTTTCTCATGTTGTAAATATTATGGGATGTTAGGTAACATGCAAATGCTGCTCTAGTAAAATGATCAGGCTTCAACTTTTTTATCTCTCTAGCTACACATTCAGTATTTGTTAGCACATCGTTGGAGTTTATCTTTTTCTATTGGTAGCTGATTGGAATAATTTGAATCAGAGGAAACTGAGTTACAATGTGTACCGGGCCAATTTGAATCAGTAGAAGGGTATGTTAGAGTGTTTGAGCCTTTGCTTTTTGAGGAATGCCGTGCTCAGCTATACAGTACTTGGGAAGAATTAATAGAGACGGTATCAAGGGATACTCATATAATGGTGCGTGTGAAGGCCAATGAGCCTAGAGAAAGAGGTACTCTTTAACTTTCCCTTGTTTTACACTAGAATGAGATTTATTTTTTTGGGTGACCAACTTGATTGTTCCATTGTTGGTGACTTCTTGGTACTAAGCCATATTCCATGTCTGTGATGAGGACTTTGTTCTTGTCAAACTTACACATTAATTTTGCTGTGTATTTTTGGCATGTTTGGGTGGAAACCAAACCATAGTTTTAAGAGTGATTTTACGATATGCAAAATAAGTGTGTGAGAGGAGTTTTTGGGTTAAACCAAAAGCCTTAGCCTTGCTCCAACAATTGCTTCTTTTATTTCTCATTTGTATATTTTTGTTTGTGATGGAAATTTCGTTTATTTGACTTGTTTCTGCATTATCTCATAGGTTGGTATGATGTGAAAGTTCTTCCAGTACATGAAACCAAATGGACATTCAAGGAGGGTGATGTTGCAATTCTTTCATTTCCTAGGCCTGGTTCAGGTTTGTTAGATTTCTAGTAGGTTTCTTGTACAGTTTTTTAGTTCAACTAATTTGATAATGGAACTTTGTCAAGCAGTTAGAGCCAAGCGGAGCAGTGCATCTTTACAGGGTGAGAAAGAACCAGATACTGGACGTGTAGTGGGCACAATTAGGCGACACATACCTATAGATACCCGTGATCCTCCTGGTGCAATTCTCCATTACTATGTTGGGGACTCTTATGATCCTAGTAGGTAGGTCTGCCACCATAGATCTCGCCTTGTTTTTAATTTTTTGTCTGTGGTTGGTTCTATTCTTGTATACTTGAATATGGTGGTTGTTCATGGCAGGCTCGACGATGATCATATCATAAGGAAGCTTGAAGGAGGAAGCATATGGTACCTCACTGTGCTTGGTTCTCTCGCTACAACACAGAGGGAGTATGTTGCTTTACATGCATTTCGTCGTTTAAATGTGCAGGTATAAGCTGAAATGTGTCTTGATATCTAGTAGTCATGGTTTAACAATTCTTAATCTTTGTTATTAATGAATTTTGATTTTGCAGATGCAAACTGCAATTCTGCAGCCAAGTCCTGAACATTTCCCAAAGTATGAGCAACAAACACCAGCCATGCCAGATTGCTTCACGCAGGGCTTTGTTGAGTATCTGCACAGAACCTTCAATGAGCCCCAGCTTGCGGCAATCCAATGGGCAGCAACGCACACTGCTGCTGGTACAAGTAATGGGACTACAAAGAGGCAAGATCCTTGGCCCTTTACCCTTGTTCAAGGACCTCCAGGAACAGGAAAGACGCATACAGTCTGGGGAATGCTAAATGTTATCCACCTGGTGCAGTATCAGCATTACTATACATCCTTGCTTAAGAAACTAGCCCCTGAAAGCTACAAGCAAGCTAATGAGAGCAATTCAGAAAATGTGCCCATGGGATCAATTGATGAAGTTCTTCAAAACATGGACCAGAATCTCTTCCGTACTCTACCAAAATTCTGCCCCAAACCAAGGATGTTGGTTTGTGCTCCTTCTAATGCGGCAACTGATGAGCTTCTTGCACGTGTTCTTGATCGCGGATTTATTGATGGAGAAATGAAAGTTTATAGACCTGATGTTGCTCGAGTTGGGGTTGATTCTCAGACACGCGCTGCACAGGCAGTTTCTGTTGAGCGTAGAACTGAACAGCTTTTGATTAAAAGTCGTGAAGAAATTCTAGGGTGGTTGCATCAATTAAAGAATCGTGAGGCACAGTTATCTCAGCAGATAGGTTGTCTTCAAAGAGAACTTAATGTTGCTGCTGCTGCTGTTTTTTCACAGGGCTCTGTAGGTGTTGACCCTGATGTTCTCATGGCCCGAGACCAGAATCGAAATGCATTGCTACAAAACCTTGCAGCTGCTGTTGAAAGTAGGGATAAAGTTTTGGTTGAGATGTCTCGCCTTCTTATTTTAGAAAGTAGGTTCCGACCTGGTAGTAGTTTCAATTTGGAAGAGGCCCGTGCTAATCTGGAGGCTAGTTTTGCCAATGAAGCTGAGATTGTTTTCACAACTGTCTCTAGCAGTGGTCGTAAGTTGTTCTCACGCCTTACCCATGGTTTTGATATGGTAGTTATTGATGAGGCAGCTCAAGCTAGTGAGGTGGCAGTTCTCCCTCCCCTCTCTCTTGGTGCAGCTCGATGTGTTCTTGTTGGAGATCCCCAGCAACTTCCTGCCACAGTTATCAGCAAGGCTGCTGGCACATTGATGTACAGTAGGAGTCTTTTTGAAAGGTTCCAACAGGCAGGGTGCCCAACAATATTGTTGTCCGTGCAATATAGAATGCATCCTCTGATCAGAGAGTTCCCCTCTCGTTACTTTTACCAAGGACGCCTAACTGATAGTGAAAGTGTGGCTAATTTGCCTGATGAGGCATACTACAAGGATCCTTTACTTAGGCCTTATTTATTTTTTGATATTAGTCATGGACGAGAGTCTCACAAGGGTGGATCGGTTTCTTATCAAAACATACATGAAGCACAATTTTGTCTCCGATTGTATGAGCATCTTCAGAAAACACTGAAATCTTTGGGCATAGGAAAAATCACTGTTGGCATAATTACTCCTTACAAGCTGCAGTTGAAATGCCTTCAGCGTGAGTTTGAGGAAGTGTTAAATTCAGAAGAAGGAAAAGATATATATATTAATACTGTAGATGCTTTCCAAGGTCAGGAACGTGATGTCATTATAATGTCTTGTGTGCGGGCATCCAATCATGGGGTTGGCTTTGTTGCTGATATTCGTCGGATGAATGTTGCCCTTACCCGTGCAAGAAGAGCTCTTTGGGTACGGATCTGTTTAGAATTTGTTTTTAATGATAAATTCTTGTTTGCATTGACATTATGAACAAATTTACAGATTTGATGAGTATTAGAGGGTGTTAATTTTTACAGGTCATGGGAAATGCCAATGCACTGGTGCAGTCTGATGACTGGGCTGCATTAATTGCTGATGCAAAATCCCGAAATTGCTTAATGGACATGGATTCTCTTCCCAAGGACTTTGTGGTTCCCAAGGGTCCTGCTTATGCACCATTGCCTGGTAAGGGATCCTCAAATATGAGGAGCTTGAGATCAAGTGGCCCAAGATTTAGATAAGTAGACATGCAAATGGGCCAAGGACAGCATCTGAAGATGAAGAGACGGCAGGCACATAATTAAACTTCAGAAATGGTTCTCACCGCCCCTTAAGATATTCAAAGGAGAACTCTGGATATTTTTAATTGTCCAGTTGATAAATCTAAGGATGCCTGGTGTCTTGGTATCCTGACGAAGCAAATGGCAGCAGGAAGTGCGGGAAAAAGATGTTTATCCAAAGTTTGTTGCAACTGACTTGTACATACTCTTATTGTTTTAACAAATAATGTGTTCTTTCATATTTGAAAAACAGAAGTTAATCGCTACCAAGTGAAAGAAGAAAGGAAATATTGGGTTACCAACCTCTTTAATGGGTGGTTGTGTTGCGGAAAGTTCAAGCTCTCGACAGGTTTAGTATTTTTATCCTTCGATTTTGACATTTATCTAGAAATTATTGTCTGTCAAATGGCATAATACACATTTCAAAGTGAAAAGGAGAAATCATGTATACTCAGCCTTTCAGGAAGTTGAGCTTTGTCTTTCTCTTCCCCTTTTGTGATGTGATATTTGATCTTTTCTGCCTGTGCAGTGCATATCAATTGAGACTTGAACTGGTAAGTTTTCCTCTAATTTTCTTGACAATCTTGAATGTAATGGTATTTAAGTGTGGGCACTGGGCAGCACTTTCTTTACATTATTGGGTTTCGTACTTTAGAACATTTGAGTAATGCATATACGAGTGTTTTACCTGAAAGGGAGCTATTAAAAAATAAGAGCGAATTTGCTTAATGAAATAAATGATATTTGTTTGCTTAATTTGCTCATCCTGGTCTTCGTACAATGGGTGTTTCGATACATTATTACCATTTATATTTTAAGGTGTCTGGTGACGACTAAAGTATTATAGATTGGTTGGGACATTATTGTATGGATCTGTTAATTGATATTAGAGGCCGTAGATGGCAGTTTGAAGAAGAATTATATACGAAGGATTTTAATGAAGAAATAGAATGACGTGTCACAGAGACTTTAATCTTGATGGAAACCGAAGAGTCCTGGTAAAATTACTGTTATGGTAGTAATCTTTGTTATTGTATTAATGACTCGTAAATGATAACTGATTATAAATTTTCTATATTGATATATTATAAGAAAATGCTGTTAGATAAAGTTTCAGTTTTCACAAAACGATATAATACAGAACTAATTTTAAGAAGTTATGGTTCCGGTCTTGTATATAATGAGCAAATAACAAGCATGAAGATAGAAAAATTCGTTGAAGGCATTTACTCTTCACGTCACGGTCTAATATTTTCCCCAAAAACTGTTCATATTAATTTAGAATTTTCACCAAATGTCTAATTTAATAATACTCAAACAACTTTATATTTAATGAATGGCGTGAGGGGGATTTTTTTTAATAAGGTAGACACGGGTAATTAATATTTTATAGGAAAAATTGCAAAAAGAGACTTTGGAAATTGAAAAATTGTATATGAGGATCTGTTTACAAAAATTATTGTTATTTGCTTATGAATTATTATCAAAACCAATGCTAATGTTATAATGGGTTGTACTTTTTTTTTTTTTTTTTGTGATTTTCCTTATCTTATTGTTGGGATAAAAGCACGCTAAACAAATCTTCATATCTAAAATACATGATAATAATAATTAATTAATTATTTTTTAAGGTAGAAAATGTAATGATTGATAGATTATTTTTATTTCATGTTGACCTTTTAATTCAGTTCATTCTTTAGAATTTTTTCCTTAGTTCAAAGAGTTTATTTGATAAGTATCTGAAGTTCTCAAATACAAAATTGAGTTATTTTTGAGCGTATACGCGATACGTTTGAGCTAAGTCCATTTCATTAGAGGAATTAGGTTTACTCTTGCCCAATCGATCGTATTTAGATAGTTCGAAGATAATCATCTTAAAGGAGGACAATTGGACTATAATATTTGACAAAAGAAGACAGTTCGGGAATCTATATTGTCATGATATTACAAGTTATCAAGGATTTCTTTGTAACAGTTGATATGGAGACGATTAATAACTGTCAAATATTTGAGACAATACTTAATGGTTTTAATAAAAAACTGTCAAGTATTATGGGCACATTAGTGGTCTCTGGAAACATTTATTTGACAGCTATTAGTAATAATAACTGTTAAGTATAAGTTGTACATACTTATGGATTTGATCAATAATTATCAAGTTTCCTTTACATATACTCGACGGTTATTAGCCATGAGCAGAAGAAAAGTGTACTGTTGATAATCAATTTCTGCTTCTTTGTTTCTTTGCTGCACTTCTCAAAACCTCCTCTGGACATCGTCATGTGCACTAGAAGAGTTTGTCCAACCTCACATCCACTATTTTGCGCATAGTGACATCTGTAAAGGACAGTGTTTTTGATTTCTTGTATCGCAGTGATAGGGTGATCTCTTTTCCCTTCATGAAGCAAATTATTTCTCTTTCTCTGGATGGTATTAAGTAAGCATACAAGCCCATGAATGAGATAATTTAAACCTTTGTTGTTCAACTCCAAGAGTAAAGAAATGAATCAATTCCTGAATTCCTTAAAAGAAGAAGTGGAAAATTTCATTAAAAAGCATCCAACCTAGATAGCTTTAGAGAAAGGGCCAGAGATGAGCAAATGTTCTAAAGTCTCTTCCTTGTCACATCCAAGCATACAGAGTCCTGAAGTATTGAGGTGGTGCTTTTGGAGAATGTTAGTTGAGGGTAAGGCTTTATGCAGGAGCTTCCAAATGAACAAAAATTATTTATAAGGCAAATTAATTTTTCAAAGAAGTTTTTAGAACTCTGTGGGAGCTCGGGCTATAGTGTTTGAAGAAGCCCATAGGAGCTTGACACAATCTTTGACCATGTAAGACCCAAAGAATTTTCCATTCCAAGAAAGTTTATCAAGAAGATTTAAACAGAGACCAATAATTCAAGAATTTGTTGAGCAATATGTGAGGAAAACATATTTAACCAAAACGGAGTTCCAAGAAATTGGATTCCAAGAAGAAGGAACATGCAATAAGAGATCTGCTACTAGATAGATGTTCATATGATAGTTGAGATCTTGCAGCATGGGCCACCATAAGTGGTGGTTTGTTGGAATAAGCAAGCCGTTATCAATTTTTCATTTTAATCTATTGACAATCAAATCAGTATAGTCTGCAATAGCCTTCCAAATCTAAGAAGAATTATATGAAAGTTTAACAATAGAAGAATGGGCGTCTATATATTTTACCTTGAGAGGAAGCTAATAACGAAGGTTCCTCCGCTGTTATGACTCGCCAAACTTATTTAGCTAGCAATGCCTGATTGACGTTTCTGGTAGGTCTTAAGTCAAGTCCTCCTTTTAAAGTTTATCTCTTGGTCTTATTACTAGAAGATCCCCAAAAGAAGTTATCACAACAAGCATCAATTTTATCACAAATGTACGAAGGAAGCTTGACGCAAGAGAGAATGTGAATATTAACCATTGATAGATAGGGGATTTGTTTCTGCTAGGATCAATCCAGGTGTCCAAGTATTTGTCCAAACGAGAGGAAAAATGAAAGCCCGAAAGTTTTGAAAGCTTGAGCTTATCAGAGTGAGAAACATTAACACAATGAAAGATTTGGAATTACTGCATTCTTTCCCTGACCATAACCCATACATATTAAGAGCCAATTTAACCAAGCATAAATCCATTTGGCAATATTCAAGAAAAAGCAAGAGTCATCAGCATAAAGCAAATGTGAGATTTCTTGTGCCCTCTGAAAAACCTTGATACTTTTCCATAGCTTTGAACGTTGAAGCTTGTTTATCATGCAAGACAACACATTGGTAGAGAGGATATAATACTAAAACTTTGTAGTACCAATGTGTACCAATTTCCTTAATCTTTCAAAATTAGCTAATGAGACTTATATTAAGGATTGAAGGTCATATATTATCTTTGTCTTTTTCCAAAAAACAAAACAAAACTGTTTTAGTAGTCTTCTTATAAGAGAGAGAATTTATCCAATCGCTCAAACAATAGTTATGAAAGAAAAAGAACAAATCAATTATTGAGCAAAACATGGGATCCTAATAAGAACAATATATTTTCAAGTGGGCCAACGCATTTGAAGATCCCAACATAACAATTTCTAACTAATAGCGTGCCATCACGAGCTGTAGCACCATTTAATTATCCGCATCACATAATCATATTCCCAAAACAAAAAAGTGATATTTGGCCATAGCAAAAAATAAAGAATTCTCACAATATACCCAAGAACAAAAATTAGGCTCAGATAACAAAAAAATAGGTAAATTAGAGTTTAGGGTCATGCCCACAACAAATCTTAGCATGCAATAGAAATGCTATTGCAATTTGTTGGTCAAAATGGCTCTAAAGTTTGGCAATATACTTTGGACTAGCACATATAAATAAAATGAGGCATACAAGATTGACTAATCAAGTCAACCCTCAAACATGTTTCCTTCGGCGTCAAAACCTGAAGTCTCCTCTAAAAAGTTATAATTAACCATGGGATGAGTTCTAGGAACCTAGTAACCACTATCTCCAATCTAACAGATAATTCATTACAAGATAGTTGAGCAGGCAAAATATCCATTTACAAAATATAGAGTATAAACAATTTTTCAAAAAGAATAATAGCTCAAGAAATAATTAAGTATGCATACAATTCTCTTAACCATTCTTATAACCTCCTTCTAACTTCTAATAGAACCCTTGGGTTATTAACACATAACATGATCTCTCTTTGACAAGACTATACCAATCTCTCCAATAGTAAGATTAGCTTGATCAAAAACTATGGGACCATGGATTCCCTTTTCTTGGAATATAGAAAGGTATCATATCCTTTAGGCTGACTTTTAACCTAGACAAAGGAAGGGCAATATTGAGGGCTCTAAGAATGTCAAAACTAGCCACTTAGCACCAAGTGGTAGTCATACCATGTGGCATGAAAGAATCAAACCTCCTTTAATCATAACAACACAACTTAAATATAATTCAATATGTAGTTCAACAATTCAACACAATATGCAAATTCAATATTAATAGGCTCTTCCCAAAATCACAACTTGATAAGATGCTTATAATTCAATATGCATTTCGTTTTTGAGAACCTTTTCTTTTTTCCTTACTCTTATTTACACAAGATTTAATAAGGTACCATTTGGTGAGTCTACCTCATTACTTTAACTCTACTTACGATACTTTAATAGATTTTAATATTGTTACACCTTTAGGGGCTAACATTTCAAGACAAGCTAAATTTCAAGCACTAAAACTATAAGTTTGAAGTTTAAGAGACCAAAATTAAAATGGACTGAAATTTTAGGAGCTAAAAATTATACCCTATATATATACACATTCAAATATATGTATATCTATTTCTTTAATCTATATTGATGGTGTCAAATCTATATGGTTTTTATCTTCTTTATTTCATCTTTCAGCTACGGGTATTATTTGTGAAAAAAAAAATTGTCATTTTAATTTCATTTTAGTCCACATAGACTGATTTATATTT